CAGGAAATTTAGTACAGACAATACTATCTTATCGTATAAACTCATGAGATTTCTCATTTGGGGAGTCTGAGTAAGCCTCTCCTCTTCAGTTATCATCAGTACAGAACACAGCAGACAGGAACACCTCTGATTTGTAACTGTAATTCTTGAGAGTGTATCTTAGAAAGCCAAACAAACACTTACAGTTAGAAAGCTGTACTAGTGATTACCTTTTTCTTGTAGAGCCTCATGAATCTCTCTCTCAGTTCTATGAAGGTAGGCTTCACGCATGTGTTGTTTGCTAAAGCTAATAATGAATGGGTATGGCCCACAGGAGGTACCGAGCACAGGCTGGTCTTCCAGCCTTCTTGATTCCAGGACACAAACTGTAGAGAAGGCTTTAATCTGAGATACAAAAACTAAAAGGTAAGAATTAAGGTACTAAAATGTCTCCCATATTATGGCAGCCCACATGAATGAAACCAGGACATTACTGATGGTACCACTCTAAGTGCTTAGTTTATAATGTAAATTATCATTTTTTTTGTTTTTTCCTATTAGCAGAATGGTACAGTCTGACAGTGAACTAAGGGACACGAGATTGGTTGTGATGGTGATTCAAAAAGCTAGAACTCCTTAACATTAGAAACTGGAGGATGAAAAGCAATGATTATAATTTTCCTTTTTAATTCAAAAGAGCAGTTTTCCTAAAAATAGACTATAATGAAACAAACTCAGAAGCAGTGTAATGGTAGTAGTGGTGGTAATAAAACCAGTAACAATAGTTAAATTCTCTGAAAACTTTCAGAAAATAACACCTCATATCATTTAATCCTCATAAATAACAACCTTATACTATTTTTACCTTACATTTGAGGAAAACAAGGCTCAGAGGGGCTAAGTAGCTTGCTTAAGGTCCCACTTTAGTTGAGGGACAATGCTATTCTACTACTATGCTGCAGTGATGCAAACAGTACACGTAACAGATTATCCTGAAACATAAAATCAAACCTTTCAATATTTCTGCGAAGATCGGAAATTTGTACATTTCCTCTAACCATGAGGGCACAGGCGAGGTAGAGACTGTGTTTGGGATCAGCCCGAATTAGCTGATGATCTTTACTAAAGGCATCTGAAAACATCTGATCCAATCTAGAACAATGAAAAAGTCAATGTTTATACAAAATACACCTTTCTTCTATGTATAAAATGAACAGATAGGTAAAGTTCACACACAAATATATTCTGAATCTCAGCTGTCACTTTCTTAAAGCAATCTTGATAAATAGGAGAAGAGAGGAAATCACACGGTATCTATTTTAGAGGGGAATAAAAAGCTCTTCAATATATTGGTGACTTCAGGTAGCCACAAAATGTTGACTACACCACTAGTGAGCTCCACATAGTACTAATTTCTGAAATTTGTGTATTACTTAGTTCAGTATGCTTATCTATTTCGTAGCGTCAGAACAATCAAAACTAAGTGAAAGCCTACTACATTAAAATTACTTTGTCTCTATAAACTATAGCATACATTAGTTAGGAATAATTAAGAGGAAACTATTAAAGGACAAGCTCCAAAAGAGATGCAACTCTGCAGTAGTGTTCCTCAAAAGGAAGACTTTTAAGTGAATGAAGTCTTTTAACTTCATTCTTTTATCTTTCAGTTAAAGAGAGGAAGATAAAAGTGACTGATCAAGTTTCTATCTAATAATACACAGGCTCCTAGGTTCTTAATTATGACCCCAGTCTGGTTCTTAAATCCCACTTAATACAAATACAATTAGGTTCCCTAGATAACTCTAGCCAGAGCTGTGTGTGCTGAATCTGCAGAATGTCTGGGAAGAGCTGCAGATATCACCCTATGCTGCCTATTCATTCAGTAGATATTTACTAAATACCCACCATGTGCCAGGCACTATTCTAAGTGAAAGAGATTCAGCCAGGAGCAACAATAAAATGCCCTACTCTAAAGGAGCTTATATTCTATCCTGATTGTCCTACAGCAAGAAGAATAAGGGACTTCCTTAGCAGATGATAAGTTCTGGGGGATTCATGAATCCTCTTCTATTGTATTCAAAATTTTGGTGCATATGTGCTTTTGGATATTTTTATGAATTCAAGGAAAACCAGAAAAGGTTAAGAACCACAATATAGCAAATGGGCAAACTCATTCTTGATTGATCCTTTGTCACAAAATATAAAAACTAGTAAGGAGCTATTTATAATTATTGGGATATTTATCTTTACAGAAATATGGAATTTCAAGGAGCATAGAGACACTCATATGTGCTTTATTACTTTCATTGATAAAAACAGGCTAGGTACAGAACTGACATCTATTAATATAAGGCACAACCACCACAGCCAAGATGGAGTAGAAAGACCCCAAGCTCACCAACTCTTAAAAGCACACTAAAATCACAGCTATCTGCAGAACAACCATCAATGAAAAAGACTGGAACGTACTGGAAAAGATCTTCTACAACTAAAGACATAAAGAAGGAACCACAATGAGACAGTAAGGAGGCGGACTCATGATGTAATCACATCCCATACCCCCCGTGTGGGGGCCCCCACACTGGAAAATAATGATACTGCAGAGGCCCTCCCACAGGAGTGAGAGTTCTGTGCCCCACGTCAGGCTCTGCAGCCCAGGGGTCTGGCACCAGGAAGAGGAGCCCCCAGAGCATTTGGCTTTGAAGGCCAGTGGGGCTTAACTGCAGGAGCCCCACACGACTGGGGAAACAGACTTCATACTTAAAGGGCACACACAAAATCTCACAGGGACTGGGACCCAGATCAAAAGCAGTAATTTGAATAGAGCCTGGGTAGGACCTACCCGCTGGTCTTAAGTCTCCTGAAGAGGCAGGGGGTGGCTGTGGCTCACCATGGGGGTGTAGACACTGATGTCCAAAACATTTAGGAACATTCAACTGCGAACATTCCTGGTGGCTGCCATCCAGGCTCATTAGCTCCAAGACCTGGCCTCACCCAACAGCCTGTAGATGCCAGTGCAGGGACGCCTAAGGCCAGATCACTAACTGGGTGGGACACAGCCTTACCCATTAGCAGACAGGCTGCCTAAAGACTTCTTGAGCCCACAGCCACCTCTAGACACACCCCTAGACACGAGCCTACCCAAAAGAGGACAAGACCCAGCTCTACCCACCAGTGGGCAGCTGCTGGCCCCTCCTGCCAGGAAGCCAGCAGAAGCCTTGAGACCAGCTTCACCCACCGGGAGCAGATACCAGAGCATCAAAACTAGGAACCTACAGCCTGCAGAAGAGTCTGCCAAACCAGGGAAGACCCTGTGCTGGGAGTAGGTAGGCCCTGGCCCTCCCTACTAGCAGGCCAATGCAACCTTCAGGATACCTTGGACCTCAACCCACTGTGTCAGGAACCAGCACCCCCTCACCAACAACCTGAAATTAGCTCTGGGATCCTTGGGCCCTGCAGCCAGACGACAGGAATTAGGTCTGTGTACCAGTATCCAGTACTAACCCCAGGGTTTGGCTTCACCTGCCAGTGGGTGGGCAAGAGACTCCCAGTCTTCGGGACCCTGACTGCACCTGCTAGAAGCCAGCACTAGCCCTAGGGCCCCCTTGGGTTCTACAACCAGCTACCTTGGGACCAGGCCCTGCCAAACAGCCAGCAGCATTCACACAAGGTACGGCCTGGACTAGGGGCCAATCAAACCTACCAGACCACCCACACAGCCTGCTGTAACAGAAGGACCCACATGGCCCTCTTAGTGGGAACCCCTAGAGCATACAGCTTGGGTGACGAGAGGTGTGTGCAATGCTGGGACGCGTAAGACATTTCCTAGAGAAGGCTACTTCTCTAAGGTTGAGAAACGTACGTAACCTACCACAGCCATAAAATTACAAATAGCAACTTAGACAAAGTGAGGCGGCAGAGGAATATGTTCCAGAGAAGGAACAAGATAAAACCCTAGAAGAAGAACTAAGTGAAGTGAAGATAGGGAATCTACCTGAGAAAGAATTCAGAATAATGATTGTAAAGATGATCAAGGAACTCAGGAGGAGAATGGATGCAAAGAACAAGAAGCCATAAGTTTTTAATAAAGAGTTAGAAAATATAAAGAACAACCAGAGATGAAGAATAACAAATGAAAAATATACCAGAAGAAATCAACAGAAGACTAAATGATTCAGAAGAATGTATCAGTGAGCTGGAAGACAGAAGAATGGCAATCACTACCACTGAACAGAAAAAAAAGAATGAAAAGAAATGAGGACAGTTTAAGAAACCTCTGGAACAACATTGAGAGCTCTAATATTTGCATTATAGGAGTCCCAGGAGAAGAGAAAGGGACTGAAGAAATGATAGCTGAAAACGTCCCTAAACTGGGAAAGAAAACAGTCACCGAAGTCCAGGAAGCACAGAGTCCCATACAGGATTAACCTAAAGAGGAACACATGAAGACACACGTGAAGACATACATTTGTAATCAAAATGACAAAAATTAGAGAGAATATTAAAAGCAACAGAGGTAGGGGGCAACAAATAAGATACAAGGGAACTTCCATATGGCTATCAGCTGAATCTTCCGCAGAAACTCTGCAGGCCAGAAAGGAGCGCAAAAATAATATTTTTAGTGATGAAAAGGAAAAAACTACAACCAAGGATACTCTACCCAGCAAGGCTCTTGTTCAGATTTGATGCAGAAATCAAAAGCTTTACAGACAAACAAATAACAAGTGCTGGAGAGGGTGTAGAGAAAAGGGAACCCTCCTGCACTGTTGGTGGGAATGTATATTGGTGTATCCACCATGGGGAAGAATATGGAGGTTCCTTTAAAAACCAAAAATAGACTTACCCTATGATCTAGCAATCCCATGCCTAGGCATGTATCTGGAGAAAACTCTAATTTGAAAAGATACATGCATGCACCACAGCGTTCACAGCAGCACTATTTACAATAGCCAAGACATGGATGCAACCTAAGAGTCCATCAACAGATGAATGGATAAAGATTATGTGGTACATATATATATGATATTACTCAGCCACAAAAGAAATAGTGTCATTTGCAGCAACATGGATAGACTCAGGGATTATCATACTAAGTGAAGTCAGTCAGACAGGAAAGACCAATATCATATGATATCACTTATATGTGGAATCTAAAAAATTGGTACAAATGAACTTAATTACAGAACAGAAACGGACTCACGGACATAGAAAGCAAACATGGTTACCAAAGATGAAAGAGGGGGTATAAATTAGGAATCTGGGATTAACACACTACTATATATAAAATAGATAAACAACAAGGATCTACTGTATAGCACAAGGAACTATATTCAGTATCTTGTAATAACCTATATTGAAAACAATTTTAAAAAGAGTAAGAATATACACACATATATATATAACTGAATCACCTTGCTGTATACTTGAAACTAATACTAAATTATAAATCAACTATACTTCAATTAAATAAAAAAAAGGCACAACCAAAACCATTCTGTTGTTTGGAAACTACTAATAAGAAATCAGAGTTATAAAATTATGCCTTTTAATAGCACAATTTAAAAACAATTAATTATTTACTCAAGGATAAGTGTGTCTATATGTAGATATGGCAGTCTTTGAAATATCTATAGTAAGCCAAAGAAAAAAGAAGAAAAAAAAAAAAGGAAAAAACTCCATAAAGTTATAAAGAACATTGTGATAAGTTCCTTAGGAGTCTAACATTTTTCATGTTCCTTATAGATTTGTCCACTAACATATTCATTAACACATAATCTTCAACAACAAATTATAATTATACAAAATGCTGACATAGAATTATTTTCATCAAAATACACCAACAGGATTAAAGGAAGTTTAAATGACTTTGAAATATTCACACTGAAGGACTAGGTCAAATATTTTTTTCTTTGTGCTGAAGTTAATCAGAAATTTCACATCTTTATTTTTTAAGGATTAACTTTAAATACAAGAACGTCTGAATAATCACTATCACACAATAAATAGTTTAGCACCAATTTACACCCTGCATTTCCACATTAAAGATGTATCTTTTACTAAATATCCTCATGTTTAATATGCTGGGCTGATAACAGAGTGAACATTTAATGAACGATTCCCATGTTCCATACACTGTACAAGTCGCACAACTTGTTAAGCTCAATAGTATAGAGACACAGAAAGAGTCCTTACCTATTCTTAATTATAAGATACTCTTATTTAATAAAACCAAAGAGTATATGATGTAGGTACTAATCATTTTTACAGGTGAGAAAAACTTAAGAAAAGTCTGTCACCTGCCCAAGGTCCTGGAGCTAGCAAGTGACAGAATTAGGATTCAGATTTAAGCCTATCAGACTTCAAAGTCCTTACATCTTTTTCAATAAAAATTATATATATTAATTTTCATAAGCTTAAAGAATTTAGTTAATTAGATTTAATTTCAAATAGCTTAATAATTACATTTTTAAACAATGACTTCTAAATAAAGAAGCATTCACTTAATGGGAAAATGGCTATCATCAACTGTATTTTATGTACCTCTCACAAAGAAAATGATATGAAGAAATAACTAGAGTTTTTATAACTTTTTCTGTTAAAAAAAATTTTTTAAGAAATTCAAGTTCTCAAGTAATTGGAATAAAGTTACTACATTTTACCTTCGAGGAGGAATGTTAACATCTGCCAGTGTATACAGAGGTGTTAGGCTTGACACAAGATAATGTAGTTGAGGAAAAGGAACTAAATTCATACTGATTTCATTAAGGTCCATATTAAGGGAGCCTTCAAATCTTGCAGAGCTAAAAAATTAAGAGTAAGTATTTACATGCAATATAACGTATATGTGCAGTCAAACTGTAACAATCCTACCTCATAAAACTGAAAAAATTTTAAATAAAAAATTAACATTAATGCATGAAAATATTTACTTTCATGTAGCTTGATTTAGTCAGCAGGCATTTTCTTACACCCTTTCATACACTGTACTTCAGAAGAGAACATATGCTTTTTCTTTTTCCATTTTAGTGACATTTAGTATTATGAACATCATGTATAATTAAATATAATCACAACATCTATAGTAATTCTTATTTTTGGGTTATCTGATGTGTAACCAAACACTCTTTTATAGTTCCTCATTATAGATATAAAAATATCTTACTTAAAACAGACTTTAGATTGAATTAAACACATTTAGGTCAATACTTACTTAATTATTCTATAAACTTTACTAAATACCCCCAGGGTTTGCTTAAATGCTCTATAATTTGGAATATATTAATGCCAAAGCAATCTTTTAGATCAAAGTAAAATAAATATTTTGGACGAGCTAATTTAAAAGGATAAGATATTCCACAGGAAAAAAAAAAGTTTACTTTTGTATCACCAAGTGTTTCTCAAGTGTAAAACCTTTTACTATTTAACACCTATTAATATTCTACGGAATGTACCTGGGAAAATGCTGCTTTGGAGTTAGAGAAAATAAATTCTGGTCTATCACTCCAAGATCTGAAAACACTAGACAAAGTTTCTACATCTTAGAATAGCTAAAAAATGCTACCGCAAAACATCAAAAAAGCACAGTGAAGTTTTTTAGACTCTCCTTGGGCACACTGTCAGTAGGATTACCTTGTTAGGTTGAGCAGCAAATTCCCCACAATGTTGTTCATTTTATCAAAGGGCTTCTCCTGTCTCTTTTTAGAAGTCCCAGCACTTGAAGTAACCAGACTCTTTGGCTTTATAACTGTACCCAATTTTCCAGAATTCATCATGAGTTCAATTTTGCTAATGATGTCAAATAAAGACTTTTAAGGGAAAAATATTGGGAGAGAGGCTATTAAGAAGAGCAAGTATACATTACTCTAAAGAAAGCCAGAAAGGGAAAGAAAAATACCACATATCACTCATACATGGAATCTAAAAAACAAAGACAAATGAACTTATCTACAAAACAGAAACAGACTCACAGACATAGTAAACAAACTTACAGTTATCAGGGGGAAAAGGTGTGGGAAGGGATAAATTGGGAGTTTGAGATTTGCAAATATTAACTACTATATATAAAATAAACAACAAGTTTCTCCTGTATAGCACAGGGAACTATATTCAATATCTTGTAGTAACCTATAATGAAAAAGAATATGAAAAAGAATATATGTATGTATATGTATGATTGAAACATTATACTGTACACCAGAAATTGACACACTGTAAATTGACTATATGTCAATATAAATAAATAAATAAATAAAATATGCATAGGAAAGTGGGAAAAAAAAAAAAAAGAGCAATATAGATGGCATTCTACCAGGAAGGAAAGAAGAGAAAAAAGAATAAACTTATTTTTTCTCTTAGATGGGAAGACTAAAAAGTGAAGAGAATGTTTCATACAAACACATAAGTATAACACAGGATTGAATGTATACACAATATGTCCATAATTTACAACGCTATTTCTTACTTGGTTGTCAATGGGCAACACACAGTCGGCATGCTCATTGAGTTCCTTCATTGCCAAGATGCTATTATAAGGCGAGGTGATGACATCATCCTCACCAGAAGGATAAATTGAAGTCACGAATCTGTATACTTCTGGGAACTCATCCTCAAGCACCTTTAAAAGAAATGTGCCAAGTCCAGATCCTGTTCCTGAAGATTAAGATTTTAAAAAGAAAATAGCGTAAGTAGTTCAGAATTGCGAGGAGCTTTGAATTTTATGTTTTTAAGGGTAGAAACATGTATTTATTAAAGACTTCCAATTCTCAACTTATTCTTGTGATTACATATTAACTAACCCAATTTCAAATAAAGAAATGAAGACAACATGGGTAGTGAGGCTTAAGGTCCTGAATTCACTCTGGTTTTGACTGTGATAACGGAAAGCCTTCCTGTAATTCATTCTTTTTCACATTTAAGTTATATCTCTATGATGCCAAAAGAACTGACTACTGAGTAAAAAATTCAACTAAGACACTATTTAGTTTACACTTAAGTAGCTTAAAAAAAACAACCTTGACACCTCTGGTGCAGCACATATACAATATTAACGATGAACACTATCGTGGCATTAAACAACTTAAACACTAAGTTAAAATTGTTTAAAGTTAAGCATGACCAACTTGAATTTACAAAATTTTCAAATAGGAAACTTTTTTACTACCTATTTAAAGGCAAAAACTCTAGGAACTCCTTTCAGATAACTTTCTGTCACAGATCTATATTTACATAAATTCAGAAATTTTGAAGAACTTTTTAAAAAGAGAAAACTGGAATTCTCTACCTTGGTGCTTTTCAAACTATGGTCTGTGAACCATTAGTGAGCTATGAAACTAATTTATACAGTTAGGATCAGTATTTTCTTTTCTTAAATGGAATAGTAGAAATATCAATGTGCCACATATAGTGTGGGTAAGTAACCTTTTGTTTTAATTTGTGTATGTTTGGGTGCTGGGTTGTGATGTAAAATGTATTTCTTGCTGTTCTGATTAACAAAAAGTTTAAAAGTCAATGCTCTAACCCATCCGGATAAATATTAAGAGGCTATGATGTTATTTGACACAACATTGTAAAATGACTATAACTCAATAAAAAAAAAAGTTAAAAAAAAGAGGTTATGATGTTAAAAATATTAGATCAAAGTAATGGAGATGTGTTTCATTAATCTTTACTGAGAAGGACTTTTTAAGTATTATTAAAAAAAGAGGGCTCTTATAGAAAAGACAGTTTTGATTCCATTAAAAAAAAACAAAACTTTTCTCCCTCTATATAAACCTATAAAGAAAATAAAAAGGCAAACTACAAAAAAAATCTTCAAAACATATGATGGAGAACTAAATTTTTTTAACAAATAAGGTCACAAATCAACAATCAAGACATATGAATAATGCAACAGAAAAATGGGCATAATGTAAATTTTAACTCATAATAAAATAAATCAAATGGCAAATAGCTGTGATGGTCAACCTTTCTTCTAGTTAAAAAATGTAAATTAAAACATAATCTTGAACATAATAGATAGATTTATGTCTCATAATACTCAATGTTGGTGACAGTGTAGGGAAATAAACTCTTATAAATTGTTGCTAGTAATATGGATTGGTGCAATAATGCAGGAAAGGTTATTTAGTAGTATCTACCAAAATTTTAAATGTACATATTCTTTGGTTCCACTTTCCTCTCTTGTAATATTACCTACAGCTTCAGTGGCACCAGCAGAGATGTATGTACCAGATGTTTACGGGGGTTGTATGTAATAACTAAACATCATAATCAACTTGATATCCATCAATGAGGGACTGACTTTAAAAATTATTATATATTCACACAATTTGATTCTATGAGACAGGGGTGATATTGAAAGACATTCAGTAAGGATAAAAAGTGAAAACAGTACAGAGTAATATGTATTGCATGATCTTGTTTACGTAAACACACACACATACTTTTAACAAGCATAAAATATCTGGAAAGATAGACACTGGTAAACTTGATTATCTCTAAGGAGATTAGGGATTAGATGTGGGAAAGGATTTACTTTTTAACCTTCAACATTATTTAAATTATTTTTTGCTATGTTCAGTGGATTATGAATAAAGCATAATCTTCTGAGATTTTGAATAATAGAGGGATTAAAAAAGGCACCATAATGAACTATAAATCAAATTAAAAAAAAAGTACTCAAATTTGCAGGTTACTTACACTAGTACAAAGAAAATTGTTTCTTAATTTAATGATTATGATGGTTGTTCTAAAGGCATGGTTACACAGCAACTATAACTTTTAACTTCAAAATGCTATCATACTGAATAATAGGTATGTATAAAAAAGTCAACTGTATATAACCTGAATATAAAATCTTAATCTCAGCCTAGAGAAAAAAGAAGCATTGCAAATTCTTATTTTAAAATTGGCTAATCCTCTTTTGAAATTAGCAAATTATGATCTGTTTCTACTTCATGGAACAGGGGAGCAAAATACTTCACTTGCAAGGTATAGGCTCCCCTGAGAGAGAAAGCAATGCTGATCATTTATTCTCGGTCAAGGTGATCAATTATCATATAAGGAATGATTCATAGGAGTTGACAAACAGGATTTCTTTTACTTATTTCTCTTATTGGACACAAGAAAAGTTTGAATGTGGTTAAAGAGAGGGTACTGATATCTTTTGCAAGTGTATCTATGAACATGAGAGAAAAACTTAGTTCTAGTTAGGATAAGGAACTGCATGAGCAAGCTCTTAGGAAAAAGTCAGCATCCCCCAAAAGCTCAAGTACACTGAACTCTAACTTCTATTAAAGGTAGAAGAAAAAAATTTTCAGATTCAGTTCTATTGACTCTTTAAAAAGGCTCGAAGTTTTAAACAATGGCTATAGTGATACAATCTGAAAAACATGTAAGATAAAAAGCTGTAATATACATATATCATACATTCATAAACACACACATTTAATTCTTAATAGTTCTATCTTCATTAAGCAAAAGTCTGAAAATAAGACTTACATTGGCAAAATGAATTCCCACTTGCACTTTTATACTGTTATAGGCAAATGAATGAATAACTTTACCTCCTCCCATGGAATGTATTATAAAAAAACACTGCAAACAGTCACAATGTTCTGCTGACTTTCTGAGTTTCTCTAAAATCTGTTCCTGATAAAGACTGCCAAACACTTTGTGACCCACAGCCCTGAAAAAAAGAATATAGGTTAAAAAAAAAAAGTCCTTGTATTTATAATTTCAAGATTTTATTATTTCTGATCTACATGAAAAGATTATAGAAAAACTTGAAAAAGTAATTTTAGTATATTTAAATTCTATCCTTGTTTAATATCCATAAATCATATTACAATATCTCAAAGATACAAGGTAGACAATTTTATATATATATATATAATATCCTGAAAAGATATTCATTATCAATGGATATCAAACTACAGTTTTTAAAATTTATCTTCTCTTAAGGTATAATTACAACAAAACAAGATTAGTTATATAGTTCTTTGGCATTTCCACTTAAAGTAAACTCTGATTGCAGTGAATGTTGTTTTAAAAAGCAGAATATGGTCAAGACATAGAGACATTAAAAATAAATTTTAAACTAATCTATTTTGGTTTAAAATATAAGAAAAATGTTGACCACATTGTGTTATTACTCAATGAAATGGCACACAGAAGGAAACTGGTATTCATAAGGCTCTGCTAGCCTTTTGGTTGCCTAATTTGCAAGGATCATTATGATTAATTAAAAAGAATGATCTTCACAAAACACGCAGTCAGGTATATAACTCACAAGTTACTTGATAACTAGGGAAAAGCCTACTGGGTGGTCGGGTGGACTCAGTGACTGGTTCTCCCCAAATGAGTCTCCCAGAACACAAGACTCAAATTCATGCTTCAGTAAAATTACACATCATTACACATTATGAACCTGACTTCAAATAGTTAGAATAATGAATATTAGATTTGCAAGCAACAAGGAGCTACTTTATTTTTAAAAAACAGTAAAACTAGTCTCAATGTAAATTTTTAAATGATCATTGTTGGGGCTTTTCTCCCATTAAGGAGAAGAGACTATTATATATTTAAGGGCCACATACAGCCTCTGACTGAGCTTGAATGCTGGGACACTGGCCTGTCTTGCATATCTGTATCATTTCTATTAAATCTGACCAATGGGAGAACTTGACAGATCAAATACTATAGGTAAGAGAACAGTTTATAGAAACACAACTTTTGTCACTATTTAGCATTATACCAAGAATTAATTTACAAGACATTTAGTAAGTCAATTTTACATGATTTACCTTGTTCTTAAAAAAAAAAAAGGAAAGAAAGAAAGAACTAGGATACAGATGGCTTCCAAGCATTGTGAAACACCATTATTTATCAAGAAAAAGATGATGGGCAAAAAGGCCGAGAGTTAGGTATGGCAAGTCTTATCTTGCTTTCATGTCAGCAGGACCCATTAGAATGAAGGAAAGCTTCCTCATTTTTTTCAGGTGACATTTAATTTTTACATTTAGCATATTCTCACCAATTATTCCCTGAGCCAGAAATATCAGTGATGAGCTGCTTGCTATCAAATACATCTCTCAATGGTCCCTGCAGAATTTCATTTACCACCCCTTCTTCCATGTCAATCAAGACAGCCTAAGAGAAATAAAATTTAATTAGCATATTTTTCTTTAGTCACTTTGTAAAAAAAATTCGACTTAACAGTTGTACATTTCTCTTATAGTTTAATTTTAATCAAATCTTCAAATCCTTATGTAGAATCTGTTATAAAAATTAAAAAATAATTTCACTCTGCTTGAAAGGTGGAATCCAATGAAAAGGTGGATTCTAAACTCTTATCCCACTTCAAAATACCAAGTGGGGAAAAAAAGGAACTGAATAATCCTCTCTACTGATTTTCCAATAGTTATTTAATTCATGTGCCTATGTGACTGTAAATCTCTTGAGAACAACATCTCAGAAATCTAGAAGGTAACCTCAGCCAGAAAAATTCTCAATAAATGTAGGGTGCATTAATGCATTTGCTCACCGGAAACAACCATACTGCTCTTTATGAATCACAGCCCCAAACTGTCCAATTCAAATCAGTAACTTACTATTATATGCAAAGCCAAGACACTGGATAGATGTCAAAGATGACAACAGGGTTCCTCTCTCCGCAACTAACTCACAACCTAAACTCACAAATTCACTAAATACTACAAACATATTGACATGGGAGATAACCTCTATTACTAAGAAGAAATTGAGACTATAAAACAAAATTAACTATGGAAAGAAAAACAGAAAAGACTGGAGGGAAATACAGAAAACTGGAAGTAGAGATAGGCTGGCAGTAGGATTACAAATCCTCCACACCCACTGTTTTGTACTTTACTTCCCACATTTTCTACAGTGGGGAAGAAGACTGAAAGAGTAAATAGAGTTAAATAAATAAAAAAGCAAAGCTGAAAAAAATAATCTGAAATAATGTTAGGGTATACTATAAAGCTAAGTCTTTGGTTAGTGTCACAGAGAAAGTGCTTGCTTTATGAGTTTTTTTCAGTTCTTGTGGGCACATAACATTAAGCACTTACTACATACCACTGTTCTAAGTACTTTATATGTATCATCCCATTTAATCCTCATGACCCTATGCACAGGTACTGTAATTATCCTCACTTTACACATGAGGAAACTGAGGCCCAGAAAAGTTAAATAACTTGGCAGTGATTACCCAGCTAGGAAGTGATGGAGCTGATTCAAACCTGGCTAGTTTGGCTGCAGAAGCGTGACTCTTACTATTTTATCTATGCTAAGACTATGCTGTACTATTTTATCAAAAGGAGACAGTCAAGTTTGACATTTGTCCAGTACTGACTACAGTGGAGTTACAGTTTATGCCCATTTAAACTCTATGAATTAAATTTGTATAATTAATTATGCTACTGTGAGCTGGCAATGAAAATATTACACAGTATTTTAGAAATATATTTCTAATTGTATGATACTGTGTCTACCACATAGTATATGATAGTGGTATATTAGAAAATCTATAAAATTATGTTTTATAAATGTGCTCCTTTATATACAGCAATCAGTATACATACACAGGACTATATATGGTTATTTACTGGCAATTTTAGGGATTTTCAAGGATATTTTTGATAATATGCAACTTTTACCTTTAATGCTGACTTTAATCAACCTAATCAAACACATAGAGGGACTTCACTGTATGGGCAAATTACAGTACTCCAAGTTGTATAAGATTACAAAAAAGAAAAAAATTATCTTATTCTGGCCTTGTTGTAAAACAGATTTACTGAGATGATTTGTGGAAGATTAAACACATTTAAGCCATACCCTCAATTACCATGTAATCAAAAAGAAAGAGAATGTAGAATACAAACTGACATCCAAGTACCTCCTGAAGTCAGTTTTGAGGGAATCATCACAGTCATAGTCACTTAGCATTAAACCCTGACATAGTACATCACCCTTCCAACCTTAGTCACATCAGGGCTTTGATTTGTTTTTCCTTTGGAAATTAATTACAATTAGAAGGAATTATTCTGGAAACTGAGGCTCAGAGGACACAGATGTGACTCATCAAGGGCCACACAACCAACAACTGGGAAATAACCAGGGAAGGGGATTCACCAGGGCCCCATTATCATGCTATTTCCAGGAAGCACCAGGAACTGTGTCTCCATTCATGCCCAAACATCCAAACATACTCTTAGGAAGATAACTCCTTTTAAAAAAAAAAAAAAAAAGGAATTATTCTGGATTCCTCACTTAGCCATCCAAGGTCTAGAGTCACAACTGTTCCAAGATTTGATGCTTATTACTTTCTTCCAGAGCCACCTGGTGATAGCTTTTCAGGCCTTTGAGCTTTCCTTTAATTGTAATGAAGAATTTACAAAGTTCTGAGTGTTTGCTTGTTAACCTAAGATCCTGAACACAGTGGAGGACTCAACCACCAGGTTATCTTTTGAAGCCCAGACTCTACAGTGATCATTACATGATACTAAGACTTGTAAGGAGAGATGGAAGAGTACCTTCTAGGAAAAAAGTCAAAGGCTATAGAACATGCTGACTTACTCTTTCCTAACGGGGTTTCCTCCATTTCCCAACTTGCTCACTGATATGGCGATGGGAGGGAGCCCAAACTGGGAGTGGTCTAGGAAACGTCAACGTTTCTTTTTCTCCGAGTAAGACTTGGATTGGGATGTCAGCACTAAGGCATGGACCACACCAGGTGTTAATTAGCACCTGCCTTAAATTCTAAGTCTCTGCCCTAAATTTTGTTTTCCAAGAACATCAGAGATCACAGATACAAGGACATGGTTCCCAGGTATAACACTTGCTCTCCACTCCTTCAGCCAATACTCCAGGTCTGATCCTTACTGTCTCAATGATTTCCATAGCATCTAAACTGACTTTCTTTTTTGTCACAGTCAAACATTGGGATCAACAACTGGAAAAAGCAGTATATTGTAGACAAACAATCAGAGAAGAGTTGTTGGAATGAGATTAAGACTAAATATGGGCTATTGACTAGAAGTACTTCGGGAGGTCTTACGTGGTTACAGTATTTAGTCACTGTAATGTGGCTAAATCTATGCTTTGCATTGGGAGTAGTAACTCTGGTGCAAATAAACCTTTCATTATCTTCGAATGAAAATTAATCTCCATTAGTATGTATTTTAGCCTTAGAGTTACAAAAGCTCCTTTTGTTATTATTTATCTAGGCATATATTTCCCCTGAAACATTTAGAAAAATGGTCAAGATGCAATATTTTTACATTAAGCACAAAATTTCCTTGCTAAAGTTTCATGTAGACACAAATGTCTGCTTAATTACATTTATATTAAATGTATCTTAGTAAATATTTTTTTAAATTTGAGAAATTCAATTAAAATTTTATTCTTCATGATAGTTACAGAAGTATAGTTATTTTAAAAACACATGTAATATAAGAATCCAAGTGTATATATCTTACTCGTGCTTTCAAAGAACAAATTTTCCCCTTGGAAATACTGCCACCATCACCAAGCACTCTAAAAGATAAAAGATGAGAAAAGGTCATAAGATGGCTTATGTGCTAATGGTGGTATCAGATAATAAAGGTAATTTCCATTTATATAATAAAGCTACTTATAGGCCAGGTGAGGCAGACACAAAAGGCAGCAAAGGAGCCATTCTTAATCTCCTTCTCCCTTGCCCACCTCCCGTTAGGCTGAAAAAGTGAGCTACTTGTTTCCCTGGCTTCCTTTGTAATTAGGGCTGGCCATGTAATCCAGTTCTGGGTACCCAAGATACAAGGGAGGTATTCTGAGAAGCTTTCTGATAAAAAAGACCAGATGCAGTTGATGCCAATTCTTCCTTTTTCCTACCTTAAACATGAATATGGATGTGATTCCTGGCAGTAGAGGCTATCATTTTATAGTTATAAAGGAAAAAACATGAGGACAAAAGCCAACACATACAACAGTAATGACAGTATCCTGGTCTTTAGGGTACTTCTCCAAACACAGAACATCTGATTTTCAGATTTCTCTTAATGTGACATAACTGGATGCATCTATTGTTTAAGCCATCATTAGTGAGGTTTCCTGCTGTAGCCAAACACACATCAACTGATAACTCAGTTATATACCGTTCAGTATCCAAGGCTGTTCCTAGTATTTCATGTTGAACATTAAGTTACCAAAGTAACTAATAGTGTACCACACTATTGTACCACACATAGTGTACAAATCAATATAGTTTACAAGAAGACAGAATATATGAAGTGGAGCTGAACTGAGCACAGATGATGCTATAGGTCAGGGGGTTGATAAACTACAATCCTCAGGCCAAATCTAACCAGCTGTTGGTGAAAATAAGTTTTACTGGAAATAAAGTTTTATTGGGACAAAGCCACACCCATTTGTTTATGTACTATCTATAGCTGCATTCATACTACAATGGCAGGCTCAGGTAGATGTGACATGAACTTTCTGGTCTGTAAAACCTAAAATATTTACCACCTGGTCCTTTTAGGAAAGGTTTGCCCATCCCTGGTATAGGTAAACTTTTATCATGCTATAAAAACATATGATAATTTCCTCAAATAGATAAAAAAGTATACACAAACATGTGGTCTTATTTTTGAAAAAGAATTTTTGTGGTAACTTGTGGAACAGATGCTCTGTGTGTTGATAGTACGTGGAAAGAAGAGCAAGATGCCAAGCCCCTTCTCCCCTTTTTCTCAAACTTGAGTGGGAAAATAAGAATGCTCTCAGGTTAAATTATAAAACAAACCAAGCAGATGAGAGTATTGTTATGCAAAACCACCTTATTAAGAGAGAATGGCTTCCAGGCTGAATCTCAACTATGGAATACTCAATGAAAAAGAGTATTATAATATTGCTGAGGGAATTGGTATACAAATTTAGTTAGAAGGGATGCACCTAAAAGGAAGTATTGCAAAGGTCAATCTGAGTGTCTTCATAGCATTTAGGGGAGAAGACGTTCTAGTCTACAAACAATAGGTAATCTAGCCTACATGACAGCTCTCTCCATATAATCAAGATAAACACCAGTCATAAAGGTAATACACCTAACTTCCCTTGGTTTGATAACATGGTTACCTACCAACCTTCTACTACTTAACTTTTCTGATAGATTTCCTACAGAAGAGAATGTGCTCTTGAAGGAATGTGAGTATTTATCTTCTTGAGTTACAGTTCCTCCTGTCTATGACTACACTGACTTTCTGCTTTTTGATCTCCCATCTCTGAGTCTGGTTTATTTGCCTGTACTGGAGAGACACCATTCTCAAGGTGTCAACAAGTTTTCTGAGTCTGCAAGTCTGAGGGTCAGACTCCAGAATTCAACAAGGAAGTGGGGCCTAATTAGGCTTCCCTAGGAGATAACTGCCTCAACCAACTAATTCAAACTAGAACTGAAATTTTTATTAAATTAGATTAAAGCTGGATATAAAGTATACATTTTTCAGTTCAAGCTCACCAAGTTTGTTTTTTTCAAAATGTACATGAACTTCATGATTCAACATTAAAAGCTTAAGACCATACCCCTGAATGTTAAATTACTCTTTTAGATAAAAGATACATACTTATGTATACACTTTATTAAATAAACAAAAGTAATCTGACATCTGCTTTGCTCCTTTTCAGCACATTCTATTTGTAGAGCAAATATTCCTGATCACAAATATCACAAAAATTAAACAATATATTTCTTTTTCAAAAGTTAGTCACTACTGAATGCATTAACAAGATGCCCTTAGGGACATTTGCAGCATTCCTTTTGGTGAAACTTTATTTCAAGGTCAAGTTATAAGAAGGTACACTAAAGGTTCATTTTGTTCCTTAATACGGCTTTAAAAGGAAACCTGTAGTCCTGCTCTGCCAAATGATATGAGAATACTGACGACAAGAGAATGAGAATATGCTATCAATAATGAGAAACAATAAAAAGCCAGACAACTTCTTTACAGTTACCAACTATTTTTACTGTCCTTTGAAGAATTCTCTGCCAAACTGCTGACATGAAATCATTATACTATGTGATAGACTTTAACCCCATCTTACCTGGTATCCACATTTCTAAAGAAGCTGCTTATTGCCTCATCATAAATTCCTTTCTAAAAAGAAAAAACGTATTTATTAGCATTTGATTTTATTTTTCCTCTTTCCCAAATGAAGTCCTTTCAATTTAATAATCCCACAATACTTTAATGGCTGGTGTAATGCTACAATAAGAAAAATAAAATTATCATAAAGTGCTTGGGCTGATTCTTCCAATCTAAAGAGCAAAGACTGTGCGATTTATGGGTTAAACTCAGCTGAGGGTACTGGAAAAAGGAGTCTCCACAGGGCTGTAAAACAGGTGCCTCAAATGAGAGCTTTCCCTGGATTCCTGGCGATCACTTAAAAAGCTGGTTAAATTAAGGAATATAATACCATACACGTTACCTATTTTACGAAGTGCTTTCACTTATTCTATCTCATTGCTCTTCACAAAAACCCTGATGAAGATGAAACCCTGAGAATCAGAGCACATTAAGCCTAACTGGCCAGTGTTTGTTTGAACTATTGTGTGTCCAACGCCAACGTATGTTTAAAAACCAGTTTGTTCTTTACCGAGACCTCAACAACTTATATTGGCCAAATAAAAGCTCAAACAGAGCAATTTTTGCTTATTTGTTGGCAGAGCCTCGGTGACAGACGGGGGGGAGCTCCCGTGCGGCAGGGCGAGTACCTGGTTGACGGCGGCGTGCTCCCTCAGCGCCAGGTCCCAGAAGCAGCAGCCGATCTGGTTTCCGCACTGGCCGACTGCGCTCAGGAAGGAAAGAGAACAGACGTTAGGTGGCAAAAGGGGCCACTTGGCGGCGACAGGATCCCCATCCGTCCAGAGCAGCTTACCCTGTACCACCACCGACTGGGTCATGCCGCTGGGCGGCCTGCCCACTGAACCCGGGAGCCCGCGCCGGCCTCCGTATTCCCCACCCACCACGGCGCTCTCCGAGGGGGCGGTGCGGCCGTAAGTCACGCTGCTGCCGCAAGTTGCTGCCGTCGCTCCGCTGTTCTCTACGTTCAGGCTAAGATTTTCCGTCAGAAGACCGCGCAAGTGCACTTGTGTTTCGCCGTTACCATAGCGACTGGGCCTCCGGACGTCAGATGCCCGGTGCCTTGTGAACATCTTTAAGCATCGGCAGCTCTGGAGGCCGGGGTAACTGGCGGTTAATTAGAGTTTAGAGTGGGATTTTAAAACTTGTGTCTTTAAAGCTATTTATGAGTTATCAGAGGTTTAGTCTTCGTTTACCGTCTCAATACCCAGGGCGGTGGGTCAAATTCCGTTTATTCAGATGCCTCGGGACGTTGAATAGTGTATCTATAAAGCAAGCCCTTTGTTCTTTGTGTCGATGAGCACAAAGAAACCCCAGATGAATAGACGTGTCAGGGTACAACCGAAACTAGGTAGTTATACACATTGACAAAAATGGCGTCTCAGAGACCCAACCCGTGTGTGTTGAAGCTGTATGCTCCCAACAGTAACTTCTAGGACCTACGGGGGATTCAGAAGAAATTAAGACATAGATCCAGCTTCAAGAAGCTTGCAATCTAATTGAAGATACACGCAAAATAGTAAAAAAAAAAAAAAAAAAAGTTGTGACTTACAGTATTGTGTGGCAATGACTATAAGTGTAATAGGATTCAGGGCATGAGGAGGTATATGAGTAAATAGAAGTCTGAAGGAAGAGATGAAATGAGAGCTAGGCATTTGATTTATGTATAGTGCTTAGGGGGGACAAGAAGGAGGAGACTGAAAAATCAAGCATTCCCGAAAATGACCAACTTCTAAAATTGTCGAACATTGAAAAATACTGTAAAGTATTAGGCCAGATTTCAATTAAGAACTCAAGCACTTCTCTAATGAAATTAATATTTTCCACAAAAATTCTGAGAGACTACAAAAATCCTAGGAAACCTTCTCCCTGCACACACACACACACACACACACAAAAATTGTATGTGCAATTAATATGTGGTAAAAGGGACTGTAATATTCCATTGCTTAGAGCATCTTATTCCCCTACCAAGACAGTTAAGAGTTGTTACTATATTTCTCTGATATCTGGTAAGTTTGAACCTGCAGTGGGTGGTTTATGATGCTGAAGCTTTCCCACATTTTCATTTGGATTTTTTTTACCTTAGTACTTATATCTCTGATGATTAATAGGCAACTTTTAATCAACTTTTTTTTGCATTTGCAGAATTTTACTCAACTCCTTATTGATGAGCATGGAGTCAGTGGTGGAGGTGCAGCCAGACACTCCCAATACCTCACTTCAGGTCTTGACATTGGAGTCTCAAAGTTTGGGGCTTCAAAAATTTGCAAAGCTTGGTCCAGTTTGTAGGTAGTGATGTGTGTAGGTCTGTGTCAGTGAGCTATGGTGCCAGCTCATCTGGTATTCTGGCCTCTGCAGAACTCCACCCTTCATGCAGTAGTTAGGTCCCAGTCATTATTCCCCAGAGATTATACCCGGAAACAAATTAGAAAGTGCTGACAAGTCTCTTTAATAACTTCAGTCTGGATAGAATCAGACTGAGAGGCTGTGCTGCTTCAGAGTCAATGTAGACTCTTACCTACCAGCCTCAGCAGCACCTCAATAGAAGCAGAAAAACTTTTTAGAGTTATATTTTGCAGGAGTACAGCTTAAGTCATAAATCTGAGCATATCCTGAAACTGAATATACTCCTAATCAGACAGATTAAAAATATTCAACCAGCTCTCAGAACAGCAAGCAGAACTCAGGCCAGCCTGGAAGGCTACACACAGCTCTAGTGGAATTCTTTCTAATATACCACCTACAATTTAATGTAGAACACTTCACCCAACAATAGCAAAACACATTATTTTTAAGAGTACATATAGCACTTACCAAGATAGTCTATATTCTGTCCATAAACAGGTCTCAATAAATTTAAAAGAATGAAAATCATACAAAGAATGTTTGCTGATAAACCATGGAAGCTAAGAAATCTACAAGAGAGATAGCTAGCATATTCTTAAATATCTGAAAACAAAATATCATAGTTCTAAATAATCCATAAGTCAAAGAAGAAACCAAAAGGGAAAATTTTAACTGCAGGAAAATACAAAATTTCAAAAGCTGTGGAATGAAGCTAAAATAGGGCTTTGGATGGGGGTAAATGGCTCAGTGGTAGAGCACTTGCTTAGCATACACAAGGTCCTGGGTTATACCCCCAGTACCTCTATTAAAAACAAACAAACTAACAAACCCCACAAAATAGTGCTTTGATGGAAATTTATTGAATTAAATGGCTTATGTTAAGAAGATAGGTCTTTTACAATGTTATCAGAATTATAAGCATTTAATTCTATAAATTTTCATCAAAGCACTATTTTTGTTTGTTTGTTTTTAATGGAGATATGGGGGATAGAACCCAGGACCTGGTTGTACTTCAATAAAAATATTTTTTTAAAAAAGAAGATAGATCTTAAATCAATGACATTGGAGTCTCAAAGTTTGGGGCTTCCATTTTAAGAAACTAGACAAAAGCAAATTAAACACAAACAGAAAAAAAAGAAATATAAAAAATTAAGTTGAAGTCAAATAAATAGAAAATTAATAGAGAAAAATCAGTGAAACCTAGATATGTTTCCTGGGAGATGGAAATTCTTTTGTGAACTTCCTTGCTCATAAAGTCTAAAACTTTTAACTTGGGTTCATGGTCCTGCATGATTTGCCACTACTTATTCTCTCTAACTTGGTTTCTTTTTTATTTTCTCTGCAAAGGTTATGCTGGCCTTTCAGATCTTCTGTTGTCCTTTCTACTGGCACATGACCTTTGCAGATGCTGTTTCCTCTTTTTTCCCCCTTCCCAATTGTCTCAGTGTCAGCTTCCCAGCCACTTCCATCCAATTAATGCCTAATTGTGCTTTAGATTTAGTTCTAGTCTAGGACATATCCTCCCCTAATCTGTAAACTCCACTGGGACTGACACTATTTGTTTTCTCAATATTTTATCTTCAACATTCAACACATGCCTGGCTCATGGTAGGTTATCAGCAAATATTTGTTGTATGAGTGGAGTAATTCTAATAATGGATCTATTTTCTTAGGATATGACCATTTCAGACATTACTCTTTTTCTGCATCTCATGACTCAATATCCTAAATATTGAAAGATCTTTACTCTTGGACTATGAGAATTGAGAATGTGTTCAGAGATATCACCCTTTTTTTAAAAAAAAACATTTATACTTCATTTATTCATTTCTTTGTGAAGATTTGGTGGACAGTCAAGTTCATTTTATCTTCTAATGTGTATTCTCTAATGCTGGAAAGTTTCATCATTAAAGGCTACTCTTTGGTTTCTTTCATTGTATCATCCATACTAAAGAAGAAACTTGGCACAATTTGTGCCAGATAAACTAGTTTAAAATGATGATAAATTAGAGGAATTTAAGAATATTTCACATGCGAATACTTTTTACTTTGTAGTTTAAAAATAGTATATCAGTGACTAGAAGTGAAATCAATGCCTCAACACTCTGACTTCAAGAGTCACCCAAAAAAGATAAGAGAACTTGTGCTGACTGAATTTGTGTATCTCAGACATTGGCTTTAGATTTTTTTATTCCTCAATACAACTCTGTGATGGAATTAATACCATTTTATAGATATGCTTTTAGTGATTTGCTCAAAATCTCAGAGTTAACATGGTGTTAAAATTTCAGCCTAATTCTGTTGCTACAATCCATCGTTTTTCCACTGCCCCCTCCACAAAAAATTTAAACTAAGGATCAAATGTTTAGGTCCTCATGATGTATTAGTTAATAATGGCTAGCAATTATTTCAGTTTTTCTGACGATGACACAGTCAGTTAAATGGTTTCTCTAAGCTAAAATTGTGATCAACTATTCACAGACAGCACCCTAGTAAGAAAGAGAAGATAGAGTTAAGATTTTGTGTAACGTCAACTTAATTTCATAAAATGCCAATTTCCTATTACATAAAACGTATGAAAACAGAACAGTGGGAACTTAGCATAAAATGTAGGTAGTAAAAAAGATTTTCACTAAATGTGAAAAATGCTCACTAGCATTTAATAGTTCAGTCATCAGTTGTGAAAACTGAAAAAAAGTTGACTAACTGAAGAGTAATGTTCTGATTTAAGAGTTAAACTGAAGTATTACATTCAGTGAGGTAAGCTGTTGATAAAGAAATTGGGAGAGAGAAGGCAGTCCAGAAGATAAGTGTCAGCTTGTTACTAGGACTGCTAATTGAGACATTTTATTCTCTAGCAGGTAAGAAACTATGTGAAAGAATCTCTGATGTCATAATTTCTGGGTATCACTGGGATATTTGATCATCATTCCTTTGGTGAAGATGGTATGAGCAGAGGAGAACCTTACGGTCCAGAGAACAGGACAGAGAGGACAGGACAAGATGTATTCTTCCTTTCTGAATTGTCAGTATTCTTGTCATTTGGGAATCTCAAGGCTTTTTTGAGGAAACAGGAAAGAAGAGGTAGTCCAGGTATTAGAGCAGAGAGTCCTACACAGGAGAACTATAGAGAAATTGCAGAGGTGCAGTTTGAGGCCTTTGGAGTGGGATGATGACATAGGTAGATTGGACTCATTTGGGTTATTAGTTAAGGGAAAGTCTGGAAGACAAAGATAAAGAGGAAAATAGGATGTAAAATGAGAAGAATCTTGTGATTTTGTGCAGATTGATTTGACTGTAGGTCTAGAATGGATATAAATTCATTCATAAGTTAAAATATCTGGTATTGTTGGAAAATAAGGCAATGACAACAAGAATAAAACCTTCACATAAAGTTTAGAGACAGTTTTTAGCTATGTTTAACTTGGTGCTGGAGTAATGAAGTGTGATATTTTATTTGTTAGCGGATAGGAAACTGTGAAAGAATCTTCTGATGTCACAATTTCTGGGTGTCACTGGAACATTTTATCATCATTCCTTTGGCAATTCCAGCCTTCTCTGGAAGGTTAGTAGAAGCAATTGATTTATTCACCTCTACAGGAATCAAGTCTATGGTAAGTCTATGTATCCTTGATCAAGTTAGCTGAACTTAATACTTACATATGAGAGATAGTTATACTAAACTATAGATTTTACTATGGTTTTACTAACTTGTTATTGAGCTTAACACTTTTTCCCCTGATAATTGACACACAGTCTATAAAAACCACTATAAAATACTCAAATTCCCAAACTTTAATAATTTAGTTTTATTACCACAGTAAACACTTACCAGGCATAGAATACTGCACTAGACGTAAGAAACAGTTATCAGACATTTTTCATTTTTCCTGTCCTTTGATGAAGACATGTAAACTTATGCAAGATAGAGCTATTAATTACCCACTGTGTCCTAGGTGCTGTTCTGGGTATTAAGGAGTCAGTCAATGGTGTCAAAGACAGGCATGGAATGGGAGTAGGGGCCAATGATTAAACAAAAACATTTACAAAAAATTAGACCAGTGTTTCTCAACAGGGGGAGATTTTTCTCCTGTTTTCTACCAGGGGATGTTTGGCAGTGTCTGGAGACATTTTTGGCTGTCACTGTTATTGGGGTGTTATTGGCATATGGTGAGTGGAGGTCTTGGATGCTGCAAAACATCCTGCAATGCACAGGACAGCCTTCTCCCTCCTAAACAAAAAATCTATTTGACCCTAAATGTCAATAGTGTCACAGTTGAGAAATCCTGAATTAGAGTGATGAGACCTGTTACAAAGCAGAAATAAAGAGTGCTAAGAAAACATATAATGGAGAGGTTATAAAAGGTTTCTCTGAGAAAGTGAAATTTAAATTCAGACTTAATGAATGAGTTGGCCCTAAGAAGTAAAGGGTGGGAGTGGTGGGTGGGGAAGTGTTCCATGCAGAGGCAGCAATAGGCAGTCAGGAGCTTATTTTGTGCAGTTGTGTGTGTGTGTATGTGTGCTTATGTATGTGTATGTATATCACATGTATCATACTCATACATACATTACATTATTTAGGTATATATATATTTAATGATGCTCAGTACCATCTACTGAGTAATATTAATAATATTGAGCATTTATTATGTATTAGGCACTGCATTTTACATGTATTACCTTATTTAATTCTCATTATTACCCTGGAGGTAGATACTATTATTAAGCTCAGTTTATCCTTGAGAAATGAACTTGGTTAAGTACCTTACCTAAGATTGCATAGTTTGGAAGAGCCAGAACCAGGATTTGAATCCAGGTCAATCCAACTCTCCCAAGGCACTTTCTTAACAAATACACTGCGAATGTAGAGAGGTAGGGGCGAAGAAATGATCACCAGGAACAGAAGGATTAGCTGTAGATATCAGGCAGATGTGAAACTTCTGTACTTCAAAGGAAGAGAGGGGCTTAAACAGGTAGGGAGGCAGTGGGGGCTCAAACCTGTCGAGTGCCATAACCATTTAAAGACAGTTTTTTTTCCACGTAAAAGAAATGGACTACAGTTATGTTAACCATAGTGCACAATTTACTTTTATCATCTAGTGGCTATTTTGTATTTGCTGCAAGACTTAAAATTGCATGGAAGGGAGAGTTATATTATAAAATATGTGTACACTTTTATAGTCATTTTCAGAATGTTTCTTTATATCTGTATCAAAATTCATATGAAAAATTCCATAGAACTGTTTGAAAACAACTCACCCCCCTCTCCATTATTTTAACTTTCTAATTTAGGTTTTCAGTGAATTATGCCTTTTCGGTTTGGGACCCAGCAAAGGAAATTTCCAGTGGAAGGGGGAGATTCTTCAGTTGGGCTGGAATCTGGGCTGAGCTCCAGTGCTGCCTGTAACGGGAAAGAATTGCCACCAACCAGGTAAAAAGTCTTCTTGTCCTGACGACTGAGGAAACGCATAATGGCTCTCATCAATACAAGCTTTAGCTGATGTTCAGTTAATAAGAAAAAAGTCCAGGAACATGGCTGTTATTAAATTAGTATTAACAGATTCTAGGTTTTCTTATACAGAGTTTAAGTCTGAATGATAGGCCGAATTTTGGGGGTAAATTTTTAGCTATATTTTTGTTGTTGTTGTTAATTATATAACATCCAATTAAACAAGCAAATCTTTAGTGCTGTTTTGTGCAGGGCACTGTGCTAGGCATAAGGCTACATATATGAAGACAGCCCAGACCACAGATTTAGTGCCACTTTGGCTTTGACTTGACTTTTAGCAGAAAGAAAGTGATATAGAGATGAAGAGTCTACAAAACAAAATTATTTTTACAAAATTGAAGAAAACCATAATAAATAAGATTTGTTCCACTTTTCTTGCTGTTTACCATGGCAAAACATCAAATACTGCATTGTTTGATTTCTCATGGCTTGGAAATTTTTACAACACAGATTTAAGCTTAATAGGTAGGTACTTTAAAAATCAGTTTTTTAAGGATGAAGTAGGCTACTTTGGAAAGTTCTGAGCACTAGTCTTTAGAAATGTTTAAGGTTGGGTTATTATTTGGTGGGGATGTTGGGAGGAAAATTTAAGCACTAGGTGTATTTTTTTAGGCTAGGTGTCATTTAATGCTCTTTTAATCCTGAGATTCCATTAACATTTGCATAGTATATAGAACAGTATGTTCAGTTTCATATTTCTCCCCAAATACTAGTTTTTAAGTTACTCAATTGGACTGATTTTAAGGTGCACATATGTATGAGTTGCTGTAGTATTATCACTTACATTTGCAACTATGCACTCTGCCCCTCTTTTTGCCACTTAGCAATCACTGCATACCTTTCAAAATGAACATCTGGAGGTTTATCTTTATATTTATGCATTTTCTGTGATTAAATGTGTAACAACAGCATTTAACAAAAATTTCTTTGCAACATAGTATAAAAAGTCTGCCTCATCAGTGCCACTGTGTTATAATTATTTTGTGACATTCAGAGATTTCAAAATGACTTAAAACAGCTGAATATGCACTCAAACTTTGGTGCTCTGAAGAAAATTTCCTTTTTAGTATCTAACTACATGTCATTTGCTCTTTTATTCAGGCAACTCCGAAGATGCCCTGGAAGTCATTGCCTGACAATAACTGATGTTCCCATCACTGTCTATGCAACAATGCGAAAGCCACCTGCACAAAGCAGCAAGGAAGTGCATCCTAAATAGCATCATTAAGTCTTTTGTAGAGGTTTGACTAGGTCAAGGGTAATGGGCCAGTATCATCTTATGATCTGCTAAACAAATAAAAGTGGTGGCACCTTTGGATGGAATATTTATTTTTAGTAGGAAAAGACAGAAATGTAGTCTGTAAACCATGTGTAGTAATAAGCCATCAGTTATGTTCGATAGATAAGACAAAATAATATTTCACAGTTAGGAAGTTCCTTAGAGATCATCTTGCTCACAGTGGATCATTAATATCAATAATTCATGATGAAGCCTAAACCACCTTGATTATCAATCAGGAGGGGCCCATTCTAAATGCTTAATGTGTTTTGTTCCTTTGCTTATATTTCGGTTGCTACTTAGCTGGATCCTTTCACTTGAATACCCTAAGCCAGTTTCTGTCTTTCTGTCTCTTGATAATGTTCTGCCCAGGAGTGATTATATGTGGTGAGAAATGGAGTCCTGTGGGTTATGCATTTTGGAAAAAACCCAAGACTAAAGAAATTCTTAGTCCATGGTTAATCTGTAGAGCATATACACTGCTATCATATGAGAGCTTAGGTTTTTGGTTAAATTTATTACAATGAGATAAAGGCTATGATTCTAACCTGTTTTTCCAGGAGAAATGAATGTCCCATCATCACACTATACCTCAAGTCCCAGCCAGTCATCTTGAAATTGTCTGCAACTGGTGTTGAGAAACCTCAGATAGATCTTTTTATTCAATTAGACTTAAGGTTCAGTTTTGAGGTCTAGGCCAGCTCTTTGTTTTCTTTTTCTTCTTGCAATAGTTCCAGGAAATTCAGCTTGCTTGCTTTTCCTCTTGATGGTTGGCACCCTTCATCCCATGAAATTTTTTTTCTCTGAAAGATTGACTTAAGTATCAAATATAGTTTCCCCCAGTTTCTTGTCTACTTTTCTGTTCCTGAAGATATATGTATAAACCTTTTTAAATGAAAGATTTATTAGCTTGTAATTACATGGACATAGAACCATGTGTGCCACAGGAGGTGAAAAGAAAAACTTCCAGGGATTTATAAATGGAAAAATTCTGTAGCTCACACAGAGCTGGGAGATGTTTGAATTCCAACCAGCCAGAATGGAAAGACCTTGTGAACATGTGAGCATTGAGTAGAGACCCCAGAAATGTCATGACTTAGTAGGAGTTCTAAACCAGCACTAGATCAAAGGTTAACATATGCCAGCTTTTACAAAGCTTAAAAATAGACAAGAGAATCAAGGTGATCCATGAGTAACTCAATTATCTGTCAAATAAAAATGTAATACACCTTAAAGGAAGAAAACAGAATCCAGGAATGAAATTACCAAAGGCTGGGGAAAGAATGATGGGAAAGGAGAAAGGAGCAATGAAAAATTCCTCAGAGCTTTTAGAAGGCTGGGAATAATTTCTGTTTCAACCATAGTGGAAAGATCTTTTAGAGTACTGAGTAGAGTCCTCAGCAAGATACTGACTCAGTGGGGGTGGGTTTGGAGTGGAGAATAGCTGTAGACTGAAGGCTGCTCTAGTCCTGCCCTAAAAAAACTTAAAAGCAAGACTTGAAAGGATCAAACTGATTCTAAGCAACTAAACTGCATCCACAGAGTGGGAAAAAAAACTCAAAATTTAAAGAACTACAATAAAATCCAGCACCAAAACTGTAAAATTCACAATGTATCAGTCTAAAAAGTTACCAGGCATGCAGAAAGAGGACAATGGAGTCCATAGTCAAGAGAATCATTAGTCAGTAGAAACAGATTCAGAATGATGATAGCATTAGCAGACAAGCTACCATAAATGTTCAAGTGAAAGATGAAAGCATAATAATGACAAAGGGAGAAATGGAAGGTATAAAAAGACCCAATTGACCTTCTAGTGATGAAAAATACAATACCTGAAATAAAAGATACACTGAAGGGGTCAAGAACAGATTAGACACTGGAGAAGAAAGAAAATTAATGAACTTGAAGATATAACTGTATCCAAAATGAAATACAGAAAAAAAAAGGACTGAAATAAAAGAGCAAACATTTTGTGTTTCAATATCAAAAAGTATAATATATATGTAAGTAGCTTCCCAGAAGGAAGAGTGAGGATAATGGAAAAATATTTGAAGAAATAATGGTCAATTTTTTTCTAATTTGATGAAAACTAAAAACTCACAGGTCCAAGTAACTTAACCCCAAGGAAAATAAACATAAAAAATGCCCCCCCACCTCCAAAAAGCCATATAATTAAGTTTTCTGAAAACCAGGGATAAAGAGGGGATCTTAAAATCCAACACAGAAAAATGACACATTCATTCAGAGAAACAAAAAAATAAGAATAAGAGCACTTTTCATCAAAAAATATGCAAGCAAGAAGGCAACGGAGCCACATCTTTTAAACATGGTGAAGTAAAGACTTTTCAGCCAAAAAAAAAAAAGAGGTGAGAGAATTCAACATGGGCAGATCTCTACCATAAGACATGTTAAAGGAAGTTTTTTTTTCAGGCAGAAAGAAAATGAAATGATAACAGATGTAAACTTGGATCTGCACAAGGAAATAAAGAGTACCCAAAATAGAAAATGTGTGGGTAAATATAAAAACCTTTTCCTCATTTTTAAACTTTTATTTAATAGGTAAGTGACTATTTAAAGCAAAAATAATAATTTATGTAAAAGTATAATGTATGACAACAATAGCAAAAAGGACAGGAGAAGGAAAATGGAAGGTTACTTTTGTAAGGGTCTTATATGATTTATGAAATGGCAAAATAGTATTTGAAGATAGATTGTGATGAGGTAAATATGTAATTGTAAACTTTAGAGTTATCTCTAAAAGCAAAGAATAACTGAGAGCTAACATACTAGTAGAGGAGATTAAATGGAATAAATACCACTCAGTCCTAAAGAAGGCAGGAAAAGGGAGAATGAATGTAAACCAAACCATATTGATATTTGCATTAATTACAAAAGGTGTAAACACTTGTTAAAAGACAGATTGTGAGATTGGCTAGTGAAAAAGATGCTGTCTACATGAACCTACTTTAAATACTAAGACAAATAAAAGTATAAAAAGACAAAAATAGATATACCATGTAAACATTAATCACAGGAAAGTTGGTGTAGCTATATTAATAATAGACAAGAAGATTTTTGAACAAAGAATACTACCAGGATATAGAGGGACATTTAATGATGATAAAGGGGTCATCCAATCTTAAATGTTTATGCAGAGCATTATAGTACATGGATCAAAAACTGATGAAATTGAAAAGAGCAATAACTCCACATTTATAGTTGGAGATTTCAACATCTTTCAACAACTGGTAGAAGAACAACAATAAATCAGAATACTGTACATTCTTTTCAAGCACACATGGAAAATTTGCCAAGAATAGACTGTTACAGGCAACAAAACAAAGTGCGCAGAGTATGCAAAGTATGTTCCACAACAGAATTAGATTAGAAATCAGAAAGGAAAATGTTTGAAGACTCTCCAACTGTTGGAATACTAAACGACACACTTTCAAGTAACTTATGAATAAAAGAAGAAAAGACAGGAGAAAATCTAAAGTATTTTGAATTGAATGTTAATGAAAACAACGTATCAAATGCATGGAGTACAACTAAGTGCTTAGAATTAAAGCATAAAATTATTTCATTAGAAAAGAAATGTCTTAAAAAAAAAGTCTCAAGTCAGTTATCTAAGCTTTCACTAAAAAAAAAAAGAAATGTCTCAAGTCAGTTAGCTAAGCTTTCACCTTAAGAAAGAAGAAAAGATGAGAAAACGAAACCTAAAGCAGAAAGAAAAAAGTAAAAAAAAAAATGAAATAAAAGATAAATAATAGAGAAAAATCAAAGAAACCAAATGCTAGTTCTTTGATAAGATCAATAAAATTGATGTACCTTTAGGTAGAATTACCAGGATAAAAAAGACCCAGGTAACTGATACCAGATTTGAGAGTGGGAACATCACTACAAATCTTAAACATTTAAAGGCTAAATAGAATTTTTCACCAGTATGAAGTCTTCAGTCTTCTAAGGCTTCTGCCTTGAATAAATGCCTTCCCACATTCCTTACATTCCCAGGCAGGAGCTTTCTGTGAAGGGAATATCATACAGGCCGTAGGGCAGCCCTGTGGCATCATGCTTTCATAACCATCTTCCAGGTTGACATCAGCTCATAAATTATCCATCTTTAGACATGATCATTTGAAAAGATGTCCTTTGAGATTGCTGATTTAGCTCGCTGTAAACTCACTGTGATCTGGCTGGGTTGGTGAGGGACTCAATGCTGAGCAGCTACCATCACTACACTTTGGGAGTTCTTTCCTTTAGGGATTCAGTCGCTGTGCTTCTGGCTGGTAGTGTCATGTTACATTCCTCTTAAGAGTGTGCCTTTTTGCCCCATGCTCTGGCAGGTATCAAGCTAATACTCATCTACACTCTGCCCAGCCCATCTCTGCTGTATCCTCTGGGAATGATGTCCGCTGGTGTTGGGATGTTTATAAATTGAGTGGCTTTGTCTGTGGTAGCCAACCTTCTTCCCTACTTTCAGGACCTGAAAGTTTACCAAAGACGTGAGGGAATGTTTCATGTGTCTCTGATGGGCTGGACATTTCCTCCCTAGTCTTTTTTTCTATGCCCTCAGGCAAATCAGAAACCCCTGTGGCTCAGGGGAACCCAAGTGGAAAAAACATCACTTTTTCATTTCTGAAGATTTGCCAGGTACTTTATAAGTGATAGCCTTGGCAGGTGAGGTAAGGCGGTAACTTTTATGGAAAACTTTGCTTTCCTGAAATTCGCTCAATGAGTATTTATTGAACATATACCTACATGTCAGGCAGTGTTCTAGGATCTTACAACATCAGTGAATAGCAGACAAAAATTCATGGCGCTTACATTCTGGACAGTGACTCTTCTGTTGCCTTCTTAGCCTCTCTGCTTAGACTGCATGCGTGCGTGCGTGCGTGCATGCGTGCGTGCTGTGTTGGGGGCATTGTGGTTTTACATTGCTGATTATACCGAATGGCTTCATTGAGCCAGTTCTAAAAGAGAAGGGATCAGCTCCAACCCTCAGAGTTTGGTGAACCTACAGTGTGGTGTGTTAACTGCTTTA